AACCACCAGGACCTGCTTGACCATGAGGAAAGCGATAGTGCCTACTAGTAACTACATGGGTGAGGTGGGTGGTGGACTCGGTCTTCGTATGTGATCTGCTTATATATGGCACATCTTATCCACAGCATTCGCGGTCCAGCAGAAGCATCTCCCGTATATCCGGACTTGCATACTTGCCGTCGCACCAAACAGGTGGATTTAAAACAATCTAGTAGGTGCGCGGTGCGAGACATCGCGTTCGACACGAGCTAGGACACTCAGGCCCTTCAGACTCGCCGTCTTTATATACAAGGCTGGAGTTCCTGCCACAGACAGCTAGTAAGTTGCATTCTACAGTGGTCCCGGTTATTTCGGACTCACGGTTATCGACTAGCTGGCTTTGGTGTCGTTCTTCTCTCTGATCCATTCCGTCTCAGAGTCCCGCTAACTTTTCTCATTCTATCGTTTTCTCGCACCCGACGACTAACTTGTTTACAGCACTATCACAGAGGGTTTCTTGCTCTGACTCGTCAAGTACGGATCCCTCACGCCCTGATTCATCCTCGAGCAGATATTGCGAATGTGTCACACGGTCAGACGGCTCTCGGCGGGACTTCGCATGCTTCGAAAAGGCGGACCTCAACATCGAAACAACCACCTCGTTTGCCCGATGCGGCCACCATGAAGTTAGGCGTAAGCAAATCATACTTGTGTTACCCCCAAAGCGTTTGCACTTACTAATATCCAGGGTATCGTGAATCTAGCTGCTGCATCTATATGTGCAATCTGACATGACGGCATCAGCCTGCGGGAGGTGACCTTCCGGCCGTTTATTTTTGCAACGTCAATGATTTTCCTAAATAGGAATCACTTTCAAACGACTTAATCGCTTGTGCTAGTGCGATATACTAGTATTCTTTTTAGGCAACCAGCCCTGGTCTTGACTAACGTATAAAATGCGAGCTGGCCCAGGTTAGCTTCATTCCTCACTTGCACTCCCTCAGGCTTGACTGTTTCATTCATTCTCTAGCCAATTTGAGCCCCTGCCACTATGTCGTATGTCGAGGGCCAGCAAAACGAGGGTAACACCTCTGACGTCGATGGCGAAGGCGAAGGCAGCACCTCGCGCATCGAGAACCAGCTGGACGGAGATGATGTTCAGCCGCAACAATCTCAAGCAGCAGCGGCACATGTGCAAGCTCTGCAGCGACGGAAAATTGCTCAGCTGGAGGAGAAGCTGGAGGTCCTGCAGTCGGGGCGCGCAGTCAAGGAAAGGTGCGGTTGCTAACGCACGTATTGGGACGCATTGCTTACCATCTGTTAGGCAAGCAATCTGGTATGTAGCTAAAGGAAGAGCAATCAGGCGTGTTGTCGCCCTGTTCGACAGTATCGAGGACCTCGTCGCCGAAAACGACAGAAGATACGAGACCGATGACCCAGATACTACTACCGAGTAAGTGTTTCACCCTTTGTTCGTGCACACTACTCATTAGCATGGATACGTAGACAGGATCGACTGCAAATAGGTTACACCACGCTTACTAGAACCTTGCCGTGGTTTTACAAGAAGGGTTCAGAGATGGAGTACGAGGAGTATTCGCACATGTTGAAGATGGTTTGTTTAATAATATCGATTGTCTGTGTCATAGCTAAGTCTTTGTCTAGCTTCGACAGGGGGCTGATGGCGCTCGAGGAGATGACACCTCGAAACTGAAGACCCTCGTTTCGGAATGGGTCAATCGTGAATTCAAGCCGGCTTCCCTCGTTGACCCCAACGATAAACATTCCCGTGGATTCGCCCATGATGTGTGTGGCAAGTTACTTTGTCCGGCCGAGCTTGATTGGGATAACCCAGAGTAAGTCGATGTGCCCTCGGTATCCCGAAAGACAAGGTTCACCGTTCACTAGAGTGAGGGCAGGAATCAGAAATCGCTCGGATGGGTATATCGTCACAGATCTATCCTTCCCCGCTTACTTGTACGACAAGTACACTGCCAATCCGGACGACCTTGAGGAAGGTCTTTTCAAAGGCAAGATCCTCATTCAGGTTTGTTTTACTGAGGCAACTTGACAGCAAACTAACTTATGTTTTAGGGCTACAAGGCCGTATTCACGTCCCCTTCCTCAGCAAAAGATGTCGACGGCGACGGCGACGGTGCAGATGTCATCAGCAACAACCGACGGGCCAGGAAGTCTCTGTCCGGAATCAAGGTCAAAAAACACGTGGCACAGATCATCCAACTGGAAAAAGTCACTCCTCGCTCGATCGCATACATCGTATGTCAAGTAAGTTATCATGTTTAGTCAAATTTATTATACGTTTTCACTACATACTGGCAGGTGCGATTCGCACTTTCTTCCATTACCTCATGGCGGTCCATGGATGGCGACTTCGACTACGAACAGTTTTGGCGGACCATCGTGGACTTCTTCGAAAGGGCCCCTGGTCGAGAAGCGCACCGCAGGGTGGAAAGACTTCTCGAATGGTGGACCAGGTGCGTTATTTACCCTCCATTCCAACCTTTCCAAAACGCTATTTCAGAAAAGTTTTCGGGAGGAATCGCCGAGGTGAACTTAACGACGTAATGAAGGCCAATATGTCTGTCAATGCTCTCGCAAGGCAGAGAGAACAGCGTGATGACGCTGCGTTTGATTCACCCTAGATGTATAGCTCATATTAGATCTCTTATACCTTTGTTAATTAGTTTGCAAGTAATCAATGAATGTTCTGGAGTACGATTCAATAACTAATGATGAGAATACATCAGAAGGTCCCACATCTACGCGTAAAGTGTATTAAAATTGCTCCAAAATCTACGAGTAAAGATTTCCTCCTGAAAGTGTGAACAAACACACTGCGCTGATGTCAAGTCCTGGTGCGCGGATCCCTCAGCCTGAGTCGGATAGGCTGAATCTAGATGATAGAGCGCAGGCTGCGCTGTCCTTGTAACTGTTCAGTGTCGTGCGAACCGGCCGTCACCATTGCGAGCAATCCCCGGGCCATCATTCAAGTCCTGGTGCGCGGATCCCTCAGCCTAAGTTGAATAGGCTGCATCTAGATGATAAAGCACAGGCTGCGCTGTCCCTGTAACTTTTCAGTGTCGTGCGAACCGGCCGTCACCATTGCGAGCAATCCCCGGGCCATCATTCAAGTCCTGGTGCGCGGATCCCTCAGCCTAAGCTGAATAGGCTGCATCTAGATGATCAAGCACAGGCTGCGCTGTCCCTGTAACTTTTCAGTGTCGTGCGAACCGGCCGTCACCATTGCGAGCAATCCCCGGGCCATCATTCAAGTCCTGGTGCGCGGATCCCTCAGCCTAAGTTGAATAGGCTGCATCTAGATGATAGAGCGCAGGTTGCGCTGTCCCTGTAACTTTTCAGTATCGTGCGAACTGGCCGTCACGCATGCGAACAATCCCCAAGCCATCATTTAAATCCCGGTGCGCGGATCTTTCAGGTTGAGTTTGATAGGTTGTATCTGGAAGATAGAGCACGGGCTGCGCGGTTTCTATATTTTTTAGCTTTGTGCCAACAGCCTGTAATGAACACGTACTTGCGCCAAACGGTGACTTTGTTGTTCTTTGGAGGAATTATGTTACCAGGGTCACCAATACGCACGCGCAAAAATCCTGCAGCATGGTGCAGAGACACCCAATTGCACTGATACGTATGTACTATATGAGATATCTATCAAATGGTAAGTGAGATATCAAGGCAAGCTATGACCCACTGTTGTCAAGTCCTGAGCTAAGATAGTGAATCATGAAGTTGCAACATTGGTGCTGAGCTACAGAATCTTGGGATGCAGGGCAAGTGGATTTACAGCTGTCAGTCATTAGAAACTCATGGAAGGTCATGTGGAGAGTCGAAGGAGAACATAAATTGATTATCGCCCGCTCTGCGAACACACCTCGGCTGGTGCGCAAAGGAAACGCTTCTTCCCACGGATTGCTAACCGATGTAAAGCAGATGGTCATTAGATAATCTAAGAAAAGACTAACCAAAATTCGAAGTCCAAAGACGGTGGCTCAAAATTTCAAGGAGAACATGAGTTAATTGTTGCTCGCATGATGAACATATTGTCACCCTCCGGAAGGCACTTTTCGTCAGTGTTACATGGACAGTTGTCCTCTGATTTACAAACATCAAGCATTTCAAACAGATGGCGTCAAAATTCAAAGCGGGGTACAAATTTATTGTCGCTCACTTGGTGAATGCATTGTTATTCTTCGGAAGGTGCCCGCTTTACAGCTTAGCTTTCAGGTTAAGAATATTACTTCCAACATGGCAGCTATGGTTCGCTCGGCTCTACCATGATATTTGCAGGGAATTAATTTATCATCGCTGATCGGTAAACACATTGTCGTTTTTTGGACGGCGCTCGCTTTTATGCCTAGTTTCGACATTGTGGCCCGTAATTCCAAGATGGCAGTTGTAATCCATCTTGCTTGTTCATCGGTGTTCGCTCCACCTGCCCTCAAAGTTTGAGTTTGAGCAATGCGAGAGTTTTTTCCCGATCACGAGCTGGTTTAGGGACATCAGAAACGCCTCTTTCCTCTATAAAGTCAAACATGGTAATGTGACGGTCGATAGCAGAATTATGCCGATGCTTGTGATTATTGACTATATATTACTATATATGTCATTTTAATTTGTTCACCAGTTCACTGATGATGGGTTGAAAGCATTGTTCATACTAAGCATGAGCGACTCAATGTGGAGGAACGATACACGCGGGAGGTTTTACGACACGCTAGAACAAAGGTACGAGTCTCAGTATTCGTTTCGAATCTCTATTAACAATTGTTTGTACCTAGAACAAAGGTACGAGTCTCAGTATTCGTTTCGAATCTGAGACGCATCGACGAAAACAGCGTCCTCTTATACGGTGAGTCTGCCAGCAATAGCTTTGATGAAAAATATATACTTAAAGAACGAAAAGATTGCCGACGTTGACACGTCGTCGACGTTCTCCGTTTGGAGACGCTCGCACTCGATGTGCTCTATTCTTCGGCCGTATCGTCCTTTCCTTTCTCGGCTCTCTCTCTCTCGGCCTTACTTCCCTCGGACACATCGGCTCTCAACACTCAATTCCTTCAAAAATCGATGGTGTGTCTCACTTTTCTCGTCTTTCCATCTACTCCACGACATCTACTCCTTCGCCTGGGAGATGGTTGCGCGCTGATGCGAAAGAAATCGTTGATGGGGTAGTGGGACGGGAATGGTCACTGGTTCACTTAGAATAGTTGTTGTTTACTATGTAACAGCACGTAAAATTTTAGCATCAGGGGAGAAGTTTGAGAATTACAAAGACTGGGGCGTTGCAAAGAGACGGAATCAGAGACGGTTGAAGTCAACAATTCCCAAAGTGTCTCTGTTTCGCGGGAGAAATCGGAAGGGGAAATGTTTCCCAAGTCTTAGAAGTTAGAACTTAATAGCGCTTGGCATCTGGTAATTACGAACTACACCCCGCTAACACAATAAAATTCTAGTAACAGTAGGTCGTGAGTAATCAATTCAATACGCTCCTGCAGGTTCTACCGAAATTTCTGGCAACTTCAAATTCTGCTAAATCGTGCCCACAACTTGACAAGTATGTGCACGATATAAAAGCCAGCTGTCGTCCTATACTATCCCCCTATCCTCTGAAATACCATTCGAGATCCACCTCAGAAGATTCCAAATCACCTCGCACATAAAATGCGTTTCTCTTTCCTGGCCGTTGTTGTTGCTTCAACAGTATCTATGTCTGTCAGTGCATGTAGCATGGTACTTTGCAACACAATTGCAGATTGCTGCCCAACCTGGACTTGTGTGAGAGATCAGGCGAGTCTGAGCAGGTCGCTGTGTAACCAGGATTCAACCACATGACTCACCTACGCACCTTAGATGGGGGGCCCTATGTACTGCCAGTAGGTTGAAAATTGAGCTGGCAGCCCGAGCAGCACGTCGCAACAGTGCAGTTGAGCCGTGTTTCTGCTTTCGCTTTGGCAGTATCATGGCGCACCATCTAGTTCGGATTCAATCAGTACAGTCGTTTTGGAGAAATTTTCATACTACTCGAGCAATGCGGACGTTCGGATTTATCTGTCAATGATCGACCGTCCCTAGTCTTGCCCGCGGTCCACTAAGCTTGAGTTCGAGAGGGTGTCGAAACGAGCGATCATTGCTGTTGATGATTACACTGCACAGACAATCTCGAATCTGTTTATCTAACCTTGGCATCAAAGGTTAGCTCGTGAATCTCTCTCTCTCTGCCAGTTCGTTGCCGATCGTGATTCGTAATCCGTGGCAGATGTGTTATTTTCTGGTCGGAAATCAAAGTCCAAGGTCGTGGAGCGTGCGTTATATTTCTCAACCTCGTCGATGCGCAGGGTCACCAAGGCAAACCAAGGGTTTGCGATACGTGACAGATTAGTATGAGACATCGAGGATTCGAGCGAGCGTTGATGAGGAGAATTGTCAATGCCTGCTCAAATTTCAAGTGCGTTGTCTGAACCTAAAGAAACAATCATTTAAAGTTCTCCTTGATCATTTGCCGAGTTTGTCCCGAGTCGATATAACATCTTGCAGTACGCTTCTTTCTGTACTCGTCTTTGATCGCACTGACGGTGATTCAGTGAGCGTTGACTATCCGGATGTGTGACACACATACCACCATTAATTGCGCGTCAAGTCTCGCCCATGTCGTGTGCGTCCTATCCACCCGTATCGTTCCGCATCAAGCCTCACCGTGCCTGTGTCGTGTAAGCCTTACAAAGGCTACATCAGTGACACGACTCGGGCCGTCTTCAGTCTCAATCCAATCAGCGAAGCTAGCCACAAGTGGAAACTGAGTACCAAGATCAACCTTGAGATAAGCTATCAGTGCAACAGCTGTGCCACGTCTGCGGCAAACACGGCCAACAGAAATGAAGCAGCGGATGCCAGGTCACAGAATGAAAAATTTATTCTTAACTGGCGACACGCAAATAGCTTAAGTGGAGAAATTGTATTTTCGATTTGCAAAGACTGGAGGCTGTGAAGAGACGGATTCAGAGACGCTTCAAATCAGTAATTTATGCGGCAGAACTCACATAGCATAGACTATACCCCTCACACGATACGAATCTCAGCAGCCCAAATTTGCCATCTGACGATTCTGCCAAATGGATCAGAGTCGCGCCCATGAGGATATAAAAGCTGGTTGTCGTCCTATAGTATTCCCCCACCCTCGGAGATATCGTTCGAGGTCCCTCTCAGAAGATTCCATATTACCTTGTACACAAAATGCGTTTCTCTGTCCTTGCCGTTTTTGTTGCTTTGACAACATCTATGTCTGTCGGTGCATGTAGCACAATAGATTGTAATACAACTGCAGATTGCTGCAAGGACTATCTTTGTCAACCTGATGTGAGTATGAGCAGGCCGCTATGCAACCAGGATTCAACCACATGACTCACCTGCGCGCCTTAGGAGTTAAAAGTCCTGACCTGCACATTTCAATAAAATTGAGCCAGAAGCCTGAGCGGCATGTCGCGGCAGTGAGTCATGTTTCTGCTTTCGCTTTGGTATCGTGGTTAACAGTGCAAGACCTAGTTAGGAGCCAATCAAACAGCGGTTCTCGAACAAATTTTTGTGCTGCTTAAGCAATGGATGTTTGAACTTATCTGAAAATGACCAGTCGTGCCTGGTTTTCCTCGTAACTTAAGTTCGAGGCTGTAGAAGCGAGCGATCATTACTGTTGATGATTAATATTGGCAGGTCGAACGAAGACAGAACGCACTGCGCAGAGTCGCAAACATTTCCTCACAACCTTGAACTTGTTCGCATAACGTTGGCCCGAAGGTTGGCTAACGGATCTCTCTCGACGCATGTGATAGAGCCAACGAGACGTCACAAGTTCGTTGCCGATTGTGATTCGTGACTGACATGTTATTTTCTGGTATGTAGTTGAAGCCCAAAGTCATATGGGAGCGTGCGTTATGATGAAAGTGAAATAGTGGGTGACAAAGGTAAAGATAAAAAGGATTATCATTACTGCCTATGTCGTACTTTCCATCGTGGGGAGCTCGAGAGTAACCCTCTTCGTCAAACAAGTGTTGGATAAGGTGCAAGCGACAAAGACACGGCTAACAAGGAAGAGGAACTTGCAAGAGCGATGTACCTTGATAGTAGTTTTGTCAACACTGTTCATCGGTGATTCGGCTCCAAAGAAGTACAGGGTTGTCTGGGAAAAAGTGCGACGGAAATTCGGAACTAGATAAAGGCCGAGCTTCGCGCCGGCAGCGACCAAAGTGTACCATTCAGACCCAGTGAAAATCGACAAGAATGAGGCAGATAGGTAGCGATACACGTCTAAGTACCAAATGATATAGATAGAAATCTAAATAATTCGAGATGGAAAAATGCAAATTGTAAAATTAAATGCAAAGTCCAAACTTGCGAGAAATTTGCAGTGTATTTGCTAGTGTACGGTCAAATAGAGGGGTGTAAATTTACAGGCGTAAATTTACACCTGTCAATTAGCGTTAATCAGCATGTGAATCTCGAAGGGCATTTTGGGGGTGTAAATTTGGGTGAATTTGGAGTTTGCCAATCGGGCGTCTCCGTGGTGGTGAATCTGTGAATCTTGCAAAATATCTACACTGGCTAGGCCATTAAATGGAAAACATTCGCAACCATGAATTGTGAAACGAGAAATAAGCTACAGTTACTATCTCTTTATCTTCAAAATCTCCCCGAAACCATTCCTTATGCAGACCCTTCGATCCCACAGTATGGCTTCGATTTCTTCACCTTGGATGATGAAAAGATCCAGGATTATGGTCCCATCGGCGCAGTGAACCATGAACTCGAAGTGCGCATGGGTCAGCGTAACAAAGGTCCCATTTCTTTTAAGGAGCGCGGACCTAGCCTCAATGCCGTGACCAATGTGCTTGGTGGCTACTTGGATCAGTATCACGAGTCTCCCGAGACAGTACTTCTTGTCAAATGGGTGGATGACCTTACAATAGCAGCAGCTGCTGCATTCAAATCTGCCAGCATTCCAGTAAGCTCGTTTTTACTGTATTTAGGGGTGACAAATAACTTGCCAACAATTCAGTTACCATTCGAGTCTCGCACGATGGCAGCAAAACCTAAGGAGTCAGTGGTTCATCAGCCGATTCAGCCCCTCTCAAACTCCATTGACCAACGGTACATTGACTTACCCGAAGTTGCTGATCTTCGGACAAGTGGTGCCAAGATACACCCTCTCCTTCTTGAGGGAACAAGGCGCTGTTATAAGGTCCGAGAAGGCGAAGTTTGGAAGGAGGGTGTCTTGACTGCTCCTGCAAAGGTGCAACTTCGAGTCCGGTGCATTGGCAGTAAAAAATGTGGGACAACATGGAATGCCCCTCGTTCTCGTGACCGAATCATGGGACACCTTGCAAAGTGTAGTCACATTGATGAGAAGTTTCACGATCGTGCAACTGAGTTCTTGGCGGGTGTTGCCAAAGGCCCTAAATTGTCCATTCCAGATGTGACAGTGGAACAGTCAAATGCAAAGGACTCGGACGACGGAGAAGTCATGGTGATGACTCACCATGGCAGTGATGACCAGAAGAAGACTGCCAACAAGTCAGTAAAATCATTCAGCCCTTTTATCTCCAAGGGGAAGCAGGATCTCAAGGAACGAGTCGACCATGCTGTAATGAAGTTCATTGTCTGTTGTGGTGTTCCTCCAACGGTTGTGGATTCTGAAGAATGGAAGCAGTTACTTTTGGCCCTGAATCCAAACTACCATACAACGAGCTCTACAGCACTTACAAAAAGTCTGATTCTCAAAGAGGCAGCAAAAATCAGCGAAGGTATCAAGGATTATCTCCACATGGCTCGCCACCTCACAATCACCTTTGATGGTGGCAAAGTACGTCGTCCAAGATCCCTCTACACCATTCACATTACGGTCCCTGGTGGTCGAACATTCTGCATGGAGCTTAATGATGCTGTGCGCAAGAAACATACAGCAGAATACATACTTACTGCCCTCGACCGAGTAAGTACTTCAATTGGATGCAACGTCGTCACCTGTCATTCATCCCTAAATTTAGGTGATATGCAAAATAGGACCATACAAGTTCAGTGCCACATCTTCGGACAATGCAGGCAATACGAAGAAAGCTCGCAGGTTGCTTTGCGAGCGCTATCCTCACATGCTCAATCTCCAGGATCCCTGTCATCTTCTTAACCTTGCCATAAAGGATATATGTCTTCTCCCTGAATTTGCCGAGGTAAGCAGTGAGGCAACATATTTCTGAAAGTTTATTACTGAAACGGTGTTACCAGGTAATTCGTCAAGTGCGAGGAGTTCTTTCATTCATGAGCCACTCAACTTTTGCTGCAGAGCACTTTGAACACCAACGTGCTCTGCTGAATATCGGACGAGGCCTTGAGGGTATAGGCGATACTCGATTTGGTACCCTCTACTGGGCTGCTTTGTCAGTCCAGAGAGGAATACCAGCTTTTCAGGCTATCATTGAGGATGAGAGTCTTGGAATTGAAATTAGAGGCGTGAGTTTGATGCTATTGAGTGTTACTACATCATTACTGATGCTGACAGTAATAGAACCTTAACGAACTTTTTGTCCCTGGAGGGCCAAGGTACCGTTTTGAGATGGACCTTTCCAAATTCCTGTCCGTTGTCGGTCCCTGGGCCAGAGGGTTGAAGTGCCTCGAGGGTGCCCAAATCACTGCTGACCATGTGTACTTCGTGTTCCTCGGCATAATGTCACAGCATGAAGAGGAATTTCGTGAAAACAAACATAGGCTACTCAATAGTACAATGGAATCTACTCGCCAGATTGGGAATGGGCGTTTCGACGAGCTTATTAATGAGACACCACAGTCTCATGATTTGTATGTGACGACCTTTGTGCTGAATCCAGGTATGTTTGCTGTGGTTACACCGTCCTGATCAGATCTAACCATGAGATAGTATACCGAAATGCACCCATTTACAAGCAGGTCAACCCCATGGCAGGCCCGACTCTCACAATCACTAAATCTGTTACTGGTGTCATCACCTGTGCCACAAAGCCTCCTCAGGACATGGTATCGCGTGCTGCCCTTGCCCTACAAAGGATTTTACGACGCGAGTATGGAGATTCCTACGAGGTTGGAAAGTATCCTGATCCAGTAGGCGAGATGAAGCTGCGCAATCCTATGCTTGCTGAGTTCAGCCCCATGGATGCGCTGGCTTCTTTTCGGACCCAATTCAAAGCCTACATCAAGGGCGAGGACCCATTCAATCGGAAGATGAGAACAAATGAAAGTGCTCTTGGCTGGTGGAAAGCATTGCAGAGAGACGAGTTAGCTAATGTTCTTGCAGTAAGTCTGTGAGGTTCCCACGTCCAAGACAAAACTAAATATTTTGACAGCCTCTCGCAATCAAGGCTTTTTCAGTGTCTCCAACGTCCATGCCGGATGAACGCACCATGTCAACGATTAATTGGCTCAACTCTCCGCGCCGAAGTAGGCAGGAAATCGGTACTCTTCAAGATCATATTAAAATCCGACAATGGCATCGTTTTGATTCTAATGTGAGTAACATTTTTTCGCGTGTTAAGTTCTCAGTCTCATACTGACTACACAGAAACTAAAAACACCATACAAACCTCTCGTCAAGTGGCGTGATATGGAATCCACTATCCTTGGCAAGCGGTCCGCTGAAGATTTGCCTCCTGCTGGTCGAATGCCTCCTCCACCTGAAGCAAGGACAGTGGACTCGGACTCGGACTCGGACTCAGAAGAGTTTGACGATGGCGCAGATTGGTTGGATGGTCCAGCTGCTCTTCCAGGGTTTAGGACAGCGGAGAAAGACTCATTCGTGCTTGTGGCATCCAGCGGTATTGATTTGCGTGCACCCTACCTACGTGAACTGCTTGATTCAGTCGGAAAACAACCTTTACAATCGGGTCCCGCACCAACAAAGAAGGCCGCAAAAACTGTGTCTCCATCCGTCCCTGACCCTTCTGCTTGGGACGAGTGGAAAGTTGAATAACTCACCTAATTCACTGTAATTCACTGTACATTTGACCTGATTCACCTGTAAAATAGCGTTAATTTACAGACATGTTAATTTACGGTAATTCACAGTGGTGAATTTGAAGGCCTCTGGGCGCACTGTAAATTTACCCTGTGAATTTCGGACAGTTCCAAATTGACCGTACACTAGTATTTGCTGCAAATGTTGCAAACGACACTTTGCAAATTGCAAAGCTACGCCTAGATTAACATTGCGATTGCGCATATACGCTTCCTTGATCGCGATCACACAGCTACATGAATTCTATAACCTCCGAGAGCCTCGAGGCTGGCATACATCGACTTGCAAACGGTACTGATACTTACATATGCGATTGTGATGCCTGTCTTCGGAAGAACAAAGGCAAGCCCAAGCGTGTACCCCGAACTACTTACTTCCGGCACAAACCCAACAGACTCGCTAGACTTTTTCCCCCACCACTTCCTGCACAAACTCCAGCTCCTATACCGGCGCCATCGTCTAGCAAGCGTCCTCTGGATGCTTCTGATCACCCCGAACAGCCACCCATATTGAAGCACAAGGATGATCGGATTGATGGCGCAGAAGACGGTGTGTTCATAACCCTGTGATCAATATCAATTTGCTGATATGAATAATAAGATTTTGATATACCTGAGGCTGCTGACAATATTCCAGGCCCTGACGCACTCGATGGAGCTTTCGATCACCTTGAGGACACCAATTTTGGTGATACGGGACCCGAGGACAGGGAGGAGGAAGAGGAAGCTCGTGTTGAGGAAGTGCAAGCTCGTGTTGAGGACACCAATTTTGGTGATACGGGACCCGAGGACAGGGAGGAGGAAGAGGAAGCTCGTGTTGAGGAAGCACAAGCTCGTGTTGAGAACACCAATTTTGGTGATACGGGATCCGAGGACAGGGAGGAGGAAGAGGAAGCTCGTGTTGAGGACAATATACCCGAGAACTTCGATCAAGACATGCCCCCGGATGACGTCGATCTCAAGGGTGCGGACACTGACTTGGGAACCATGGGCTGGACGGACGAGGACTTGGACGAGCTACAGCAGATGGCATGCCTTGAAGATGCCCAGGATTCAATGTCATTCATTACTGCTCTCCGAAAAGCATCCCTAGACGACACACACTCTAAACTACCTCCAGACGCACTAGACAGACTTCGAAACCCTCCCCGCGAACTCCCCGATATGTCAGATCCTGATCTTATCCTTTCATTAAAATATTACTTTGCAAATACAACAATCGCTGCTTACAATCTTATCCGCGAAGCCACGATCGAACGACACCCCGAAGATGATGTATATAGTCATTACCGGGTTAAGCAAGCTGTCTGTGAACTTAGTGGTGTCGTCCCGATCGTTAATGACATGTGTACCAACACATGTCTCGCATTCACAGGTCCGTACGCCGAGCTCGATCATTGTCCTCGATGTGGAGAAGATCGATGGGACACCAAAAAAAGCTCACCTCACAAGAAGGTAGCTCGGAAAACGTTTGACACATTTCCTGTTGGACCGCAGCTCCAGGCCCTATGGCGCCATCCAGACCAGGCAAAGAAGATGCGATGGCGCCAGGAGTACACCAACAAGATCATCGATGAATTGAAGACAACCGACGGCGTTCCGGAGGTATATGAAGATGTTCTTCATGGGAAGCAATATCTGGACGCGTGCCAATCTGGCAAAATTAAAGATGGTGATGCGGTTCTTATGTTCTCGATCGATGGTGCCCAGCTCTATGAATCCAAACAATCCGACTGTTGGATATATATTTGGGTAATTTTCGATCATGCGCCAGACGTCCGGTACAAGAAGAAGTACATACTCCCGGGCGGTATCATTCCTGGCCCCAAAAAACCCAAAAATCTAGATTCTTTCATTTTCCCCGGCCTACACCATCTTCGCGCAATTCAGACAGAAGGGCTTCCAATTTGGGATGGCGCGAAGAAGGCTCTATTTCAATCTAATCCCTTTCTCTTTGTTGCAACAGCTGACGGCCCCGGCATGGCATTTCTTACTGGCCTCGTGGGTCACCATGGCAGATTCGCATGTCGTCTCTATTGCGGACTCCCAGGGAGACACAAACCAGGTGCACCTACGTACTATCCTGCCCTACGTCAACCTGAAGGTACTGATCAACCTGATCACCCCAACTTCTTCATTGATCGGCTTCCCCTTCCCGGATCATTCGATTATGAACGGAACCTCAAGCGTGTGATCCGCTGTTCCAACATGGCCGAATACGAGCTTGCACGCCTCGAGACAGGCATTACGAAACCAAGCATCTTCTGTGGCTTCGACACTGACCGTATTTTGCTGGTGCCGCTGTGCTTTGGCTCTGACATCATGCACATCGCTGCCATCAATACCGGTGATCTCCTTCTACCCCTCTGGAGAGGAACCTTTAGAGCCGAGACTACGGATGATAAATCCACGTGGGCCTGGGCTGTTCTGACGAAGGCGACTTGGAAGGCACATGGATCTCTGATCACAGATGCAACACCCTTTCTGCCGGGTTCGTTTGATCGACCTCCTCGTAACCCAGCAGAGAAGATCAATAGTGGGTATAAGGCCTGGGAATGGCTTCTCTACCTGTATGGGATGGCACCGGCCACACTCTACGGCATCCTTCCTGAGCCCTATTGGTCGCATTTCTGTCGTCTTGCCCGGGGACTACGTATAATGCAACAATACCATATATCTAGATCAGATCTCATTGAAGGCCACCATCACCTTCTTAACTTCGCGGATGAATTTGAAGAGCTCTACTACCAGCGCCGGATCGATCGACTTCATTTCGTTCGACCATGGCTCCACTCGATCACACATATCGCTGGTGAGACAGTCAACAAGGGACCACCTATCTGCTCATCACAATGGACTATGGAGCGAACTATTGGCAACCTAGCTCAAGAGATACGACTACACAACTCCTCTGTCTACGCTAATCTCTCTCAATGTGCTGCCCGTCGTTGTCAAGTCAATGCCATCAAGGCTATCATACCAACAATCGAACCATCGGATAATGCTTCCCCGAAGGGCTCGTTGGATATCGGCCAGGGATATTTACTGCTGCGGCGAAGAGAGAGGACAGCTCACGCAGTACGTCCCTGTGAGGCCCAAGTACTACTTCGCTACCTGTCCGACAACAATGTTCATGTTACCTCCGCCCCTCTCATCACTCGATGGGCTCGTCTTCGCCTTCCAAATGGGCAAGTTGCACGGTCTGCATGGAAGGAAAATGCTATGTCCAAGCAACCAAGAATGGCACGCAATGTGAAGGTATGTTTTTCATGGTCACTCTATTAGTATTATACATTGACACGTACACTAAAGTTATTGATTGACGGCAAGACCACTGTTGCCGAAGTCTTATTTTATTTCAATATGATGCTTCACGACAAAGAGAAGACCTTTGCTTTCGTATCTGAATTCAGCCAGCCGCACACAGATCTATTTGAAAACTCGTCGCAAACGGTCTTTGCCTGTCGTTATCGTGGAGACGCTTCATTGAAACTTGTCGAGGTTCATACTATACAGTCTGTGGTGGCTATGATTCCTCATAATTTTCCGGGTATTGATGGCGTTCTTTTCTACCTCGTGGAACGACCAGGGTTGGACATTATAAGAATGAGTGGTGTGGAAGAGGAGGGTATTCTTGACGAAGAATGAGTTCAATTACTTTTTTATACGAGATGCAAGCATGTTTATTTATCTGACTACTGCATCACTAAAGAGCTTCTTCAAGTTCTCGTTTCATTGCACGAACCACAAGAAAATTCTTGTCTGTACGCGATCGATCGTACCATGCTTCATCCTCCTCCTTCGACACGTACTTCCAGTAAATTGATCCAGGCGGTGGTGGGCTTGGCGTTGCAAATATAGACTTCATATTACTTTTGGGCATGGAGAGAACTGGTCGGGTGATAGTGGACGAGTGTGCCATTGGCTCAGGTGGGTCGCTTTCAGGCTCGGTGACGCTGTCAGGATCATTCACACAAGGAGGGGTGATGACTTGCTGTGGTGTTGGCTCAGGTGGGTCGCTTTCGGGCTCGGTGATGCTTTCAGGATCGTCCACATGAGGAGGGGTGATGACTTGCTGTGGTGTTGGCTCAGGTGGGTCGCTTTCGGGCTCGGTGATGCTTTCAGGATCATCCACACGAGGAGGGGTGAAGACTTGCTGCAGTGTTGGCTCGGGTGGGTCGCTTTCGGGCTCGTCAGGCCAGGGAGGCATAGTATTTGGGTGATGCCTTCAATATAAGTTGTTGAACCGAGATATAATCATATAATAGTGACTCACAACAGTTGCTGTCTGATCAAGTGTTCTTTCTCTGGATGCGCATGCCAGTATGCTGGGTTGACAAACATATCATCCGAGGGTGTCATCTTTGGTGTGCTGGAACGACTGTCTGAAAAA